TCATTTTGATAACGATCCCCCAACCCCTCGTATACTTGACATTAGCACCTCCGAAATTCTATACACACCGTTCAGTGCTACTCCATACAAATCCTCGTCTCTGATGTCGTATGTCTCTCTCACAATTTTGGGCAATAACACATCAACTGACGTAGGCGTTAAAGCCCCACTAATAAGCTCAATGCCCACAGTATTCACCCTTCTGTGCACACCTGGCGCCATGTTGTTGACTGAGTAGCTCGTCTGGGAAAACAGTAGAGGGGTGCAAAGCACGACCGCACTCTACCTCATCCAGGCAGCGAATACGAGGATATTACCCATCCTGGGAACTGGTGTTACTTGATGCCAGCAGGTCCCTCTCTTACCTCACCTCCTTATTAGGTAAGACACATATGCAACAGTTAGACAACTTTATTCCGAAACGTTTCGCCTACACAGTAGGCTTCTTCAGTCGAATACAGAAAGTAGGCAGGAACAGTAGAGATGTGAAGACGATGTAATCAGTCCATCACCCTTAAAGTCGTAGAATTTGAGGTTGTCAGTCCCTCGGCCTGGAGAAGTTCAGTTCCATAGTCAGGAACTATCTCTCCTGACTATGGAACTGAACTTCTCCAGGCCGAGGGACTGACAACCTCAAATTCTACGACTTTAAGGGTGATGGACTGATTACATCGTCTTCACATCTCTACTGTTCCTGCCTACTTTCTGTATTCGACTGAAGAAGCCTACTGTGTAGGCGAAACGTTTCGGAATAAAGTTGTCTAACTGTTGCATATGTGTCTTACCTAACAACCTGTCGGTATTGTATACCATTTTGATGTTCACCTCACCTCCTTAGTTCCATTACTACTACTGCTACTATTACTACTACTACACTACTACTACTACTACTACTACTACTACTACTACTACTACTACTACTACCACCTCTACCCACGCATCACCTCACCTGACTCCCGCCACTATACATATGTGTGTTTTCTTAGTTTTCTCTGTATTAGGACTGAAGAAGCCACTCGTGGCGAAACGTTTCCTTTAATAAATGTCCTGAACTGTACATAAGTGTCTTTTTCCACATCACATAGTCTCTCCTGTTATACTACACAAAGCACAGAGAGTGAACACTGAAACAAGCTGCCTCATTCCAGTTTATATTTGTCCAACCTATTTTTATGTTACCCAAGTAATAGCTTTTATATCCTTTTACTCATGTACGAATTAATTGCTCTACCATATTGTATTACTTTTGTCACTACCACTACTACTACTACCACTAGTGAACATCGAAATGGTACCTCACTAGTATTCACCTCACTCTGAGCCTTTATATACCCTCTGTGTCCATGTATTGTTTGTAATGGCTTGATAAAGCTCCTGGAGAGCGAAACGTTGCCACAATAAATGTCACATTATTTGCACTTGTGTCCTTTTACTTTACAGACTTAATACCCGTTTTTATGCAACAGTTCAAGCGATCTCGGACATACAATGCCACCCCACCCCCCTTTCCGACACTTCTATCTACGTGGAACAATTTAAAACCCTGGATGTGACATTCTGCAGGCATGTCCCGACTTTTTGAATTAAACCACGTCTCAGTAATGGCAAATACATCTATGTTACCTGCACTAGCAACTAGTCTCAACTCGTCCATTTTATTCCTAGCACTGCGGCTATTTGTGTAATAAATATTTAAAGACCCTCCTCTCTCTTTACCCTTCCTGCTCCTTTCTGTTTTTCCATTAAACCGATTACTGTCCTTGTCAATTAGTGCCACTGGCTTTCCAATATCCACCTCATTTTGCCTATTACTAGTTCTCCTAGTACTCATATTACTACCCTGCGACTTCACAGTTTTCCCGCAAAAACCCATACCACTAACTATTTCTAGTTTAAAGACCTAACAGCTCCCTCCACTGCGTTGGCCAGTGCTCCCACCCCACACCTAGATAAGTGAACCCCGTCCCTGGCATACATGTCATTTCTGCCATGGAGGTCCCAGTTGTCAATGAATGTTACTGCATTTTCCTTACAGTATTTGTCCAGCCAGCAATTGACACCAATTGCTCTGGACAACCATTCATTTCCAACTCCTCTCCTTGGCAAAATGCCACATATGACAGGTTTCCCACCCTTCCTCCTAATTATCTCTATTGCGCTTGCTCTTCATGGTACTCTGCCTTGACAAAAAAACTGAAAGATAGACTGCAAATCACCCAGAACAAAATCGTAAGATTCATCCTGGGGCTGGGACCAAGAGAACATGTAGGCCAGGATGAATTACAGCAGTTGGATATGCTGAATGTTGAAGACAGAGTAAAACAACTGAAGCTAAATCATGTTTATAAAATTGCTCACGAACAGTGTCCAGAATATCTTGCTGTCAATTTTGTCAAGGTTGGGAACCAAAGCAATCATAGTACTAGGGGGAGAGAGCACAACTTTGTAGTACCCACAGTCAGTGGCCAGGCGTCAAACACCTTTTATTGTACAGTAATAAAGGAATGGAACAGACTACCCGCACATGCCAAAGCCAGTGATAGCATGAACCAGTTCAAGAAGACTGCCAAAAAGTGTCTGATGAATGAAGCTACAGAAAGGGAGGGGAATGATTTTCTATTTTTTAGCTAAAATACGTGTAAATTTTACCTTATCCCTAGTAATGACCCTCGTATTGTAGATAGTCTTAATGACCCTCGTGTAAAGTAAAAGGACACAAGTGCAACTAATGTGACATTTATTGTGGCAACGTTTCGCTCTCCAGGAGCTTTATCAAGCCATTACAAACAATACATTGTAAAGTAAAAGGACACAAGTGCAACTAATGTGACATTTATTGTGGCAACGTTTCGCTCTCCAGGAGCTTTATCAAGCCATTAATGGCTTGATAAAGCTCCTGGAGAGCGAAACGTTGCACAAATAAATGTCACATTAGTTGCACTTGTGTCCTTTTACTTTACATATTGTCGGTAATTCTACCAACTTTATTACAAACAATACATTGATAAAGCTCCTGGAGAGCGAAACGTTGCCACAATAAATGTCACATTAGTTGCACTTGTGTCCTTTTACTTTACATATTGTCGGTAATTCTACCAACTTTATTACGACCCTCGTGTAGTAGATAGTCTTTTTAGTATGATAATAAGATGTTATCTTCATTGTAGAATAATAAGAAAATATTATAACCTTTATAGTATAATAATAAGGTAAAAGGACCCCAATGGAAATAAGTCACTCTGTCTAACTTTTTTGGGTTATCCTAGGTTCTCTACACATATGCTGCTATGTATGATAATTCTATGTAACTGTATTTGTGTATACCTGAATAAATTTACTTACTTACTTACCTGCTAATCAGGTCCTCACTCCTACGTCTGCCAACATCGTTGCCTCCAGCACTGAGACAGATAATTGGATTTCTCCCATTACCTCTCATGATGTCATCCAGACGGCTAACAATATCCTTCATCCCAGCCCCAGGAAAACACTCTGCCTCCTACTCCTATCCTTCAAGCAGAATGCCCTATCCATGTACCTAATCTGGCTATCCCCAACAACAACAATGTTTTTACTTTGGCGTCGTCCGTCGTGATGCTCCGAGTAGTCGACTCACATTCGCTAGGTAGCATTACACCACTTGTAGAATTCGTCAAGACGTTCTCGATGGTCTTCGTATAAGTGTATAAGTGGAAGATAGGTATTAATAAAGGGGATATTAATAAGGTCTTGAGGATGTCTCTCCAAGAGAGAACCTGCAGTAATGGATTTAAATTAGATAAGTTTAGATTTAGAAAGGACATAGGAAAGTATTGGTTTGGAAATAGGGTAGTTGATGAGTGGAACAGTCTACCTAGTTGGGTTATTGAGGCTGGGACTTTGGGTAGTTTCAAATTTAGGTTGGATAAGTACATAAGTGGGAGGGGTTGGATTTGAGTGGGAGTTTCACTCTTGGGTGGCATTGAAAATTGGACATTAAAATGGTATAAAATACCGACAGGTTGTTAGGTAAGACCTAACTGTTGCATATGTGTCTTACCTAACATTGAAAATTGGGTTGGGCAAATGTTTTGTTAGGGGGATGAATTGTAAAGGACCTGCCTAGTATGGGCCAACAGGCCTCCTGCAGTGTTCCTCTTTTCTTATGTTCTTATGTAAGAAGGAACACTGCAACAGGCCTACTGGCCCATGCTAGGCAGGTCCAAGCCATTTATTGGCCCAAGCTACCGGCCGAAGCAGTTAGGTCCAAGTCACATCCACTTAAGAACGATGGATCACTGCATCAGACCTACCAGTGCAAGCCATTCAGGTCCAACTCACACCCACTCATGTATTTGTCTAACCTATTTTTAAAACTGCACAACGTTTTAGCTTCAATGACGGCACTCGGGAGTTTGCTCCACTCATCCATCCCCTCAGGGAAGGTTCCTTGATGCTACCCCTCGAGGGAGGTCCCTTGATGCTGGTGAGGGGCTCTTGATCTAGGGAATTGGATCTATGCTCCGGTTCCCTGAATTAAGCCTGAATACCTTCCATCCCCCCACATGCGTTGTATAATCCTACGGGTTTAGCGCTCCCCATCATTATAATAATAATTCTTGATGCTAGGGAACTGGATCTGTGCTCCAGTTCCCTGCATTGAGTCTGAATACCTTCCATCACCCCCTTTTCCCCACAGGCACTGTATAATTCCTATGGGTTTAGCGCTCCCTTATGATTATAATATAATCCACTCATCCACAACTATTGCTAAACCAGTGCTTTCCTATATCCTGAACCTAAATTTTTCCAGCTTGAAACCATTTCTACGATTCATGTCTTAGATACTTTTAATCACGTTATTTACATCCCTATAAATTACACTGATTACATATTAATAGATTACAATAAATCAGGAAAGTGTAGAGAATATAGGTTCTCGTATGACTTAACACGTTTTAAGCCACATTCAAGATACATACCAACACTGTTACATAAACATTATTTTCCTATCAGTTACCACAAATTACAGGAAAATTATCAAAATTTACCACAGTAAAGTTGTTGAATAATTTTGTAGTGAGGGTGCCATCAGTTGTTACAGTAAGTTTCGGATAAAACTTTTCAAACAGGATGTTAAGGTGGTTTGTGATGGGGAGTTGTGAGGTGGTAGCTGTCAGTACTGCAGAAGACGGGGAAGGGGACACTATACCCAGTTCCCCTCGCTCGCCCACCTCTCCTTC